GGCTAATGCCCACTCTTCTGCTCTTACCTTGTTATTACACCAGGTCCCCAGACCTGTGCCTTCATCTTTCTGTCCCACGTCCCGTCAGCACTCCCCAGTTCCACCCTCCCTCTCTCACCCTCACCCACAAGTCACTGTGTGCATCTCCCCACAGCTGTGCACTTCAGTGGAGACTGGTTCGTGGGGGCAGTGTGGACCAATACATCCTACAAAGCCTTCAGTACAGCGCGTGTTCAAGTCCATGTCGGTCTGCATGTGGGACTGGTGGGAGTCAATATTACACTCAAAGGTGAGGAGGCTGGGGCAAAGTGAGTTCCTGGGGCTGGGAGATCTCATGGTTCAGAGCCGAGTGCCATGGGATGTTAGAGGACTTTTCCGCATCCCTCCAGCTCGGAAAACCTTTGATTGACACGGATTTGGGTTTTCCCCCAATTACCATATAATCTTTCTCTTTCCCGACAGTTGCCCCACCTTTTGTTCACTATCTGAATGTGTTCAGTTTCCGGGTCCCTGGCTTTGCAGAGTGCATTGACCCCACGCTTTCCCGCAGGAACACCAGTGCAGCAGCTGAACGAGACCATTGACTACAACGAGCGTTTCACGTGGCGTCTGGACGAAGACTACACCAAGGAGTACGTTGATGCTCTGGAGAAGGGATTGCCGGACCCAGTGCTATACTTGGCGGAGAAGTTCACGCCCAGCAGCCCTTGCGGGCTGTACCATCAGTATCACCTGGCCGGACACTATGCCGCAGCAACACTGTGGTGAGCGTCTGGTGGGGATGGAGCAGGGTGCTTGTGACCTGGAGAGCTGGGCCTGGGGAGCAGCGCGTTGGAACTACAGCCTCGTGGACAGGATTGTCTGGCGCTCTGCAATAAAACCGTGGGAATCCCAGCCACCGCGGGCGGGCAGGCGGGCGGGCGCTCAGGAACTGGCTCTCCCGGGGATTCCCTGCGCCGCCTGCAGGTCTGGCCCGGGAACCCCGCTCAAGGCGCGCTGCCTGGGTCCCTCACAGGGTGGCGTTCTGCTTCTGGATCATCGCCAACGCGCTGCTCTCCATGCCCGCCCCACTTTATGGAGGCCTGGCTCTGCTCACCACCAGCGCCTTCACGCTCTTCGCCGTCTTCGCCTTCGCCTCGGTCTCCAGCGTGCCGCTCTGCCCCTTCCGCCTGGGCTCCGCCACCCTCACGCCTCACTACGGCGCCTCTTTTTGGGTCACGCTGGCCACCGGTGAGCACCAAGGGATGCGCGTCTGGTGTTGGTGACCGGGATACGTAAAGGATGTGCGCTATCCCTCCTATAGAACGAGTTCTTATTTAATTTCTCCCCCTCTATAGCAGGCAGAAGGTGTGGCGGGCATTGCTACTCTCATTTCACGATTGAGTAGAACTAGTTCGGAAGGTTCAGTATCTTGCCCCAGTTAGTGTGAGAACCCCTGCATCGTGTAATACACATAAGCGTTCTTTCTGAGGGTGTGTGTGTGTAAGGAAATTCCGGGGATGGGGTCCAGATGCCGGCGAGGAGCGCCTGCACCCCTGACTCTGTCTTTCTGCCCTCCGTGCAGGCATCCTGAGCCTCCTCCTCGGAGCGGTGGTGGTGATTCTGCACTACACTAAGCCCAGCGCTCTGCGAACCTTTCTGGATCAAAGCGACAAAGACTGTAGGGGTCAGGCCAAAGGAAACTCGCCTCTCATCTTCGATAACCCGCAACGCAAGCAGTTCGCGACCCCAGACTTAAATATTACCACTGTCCTGTAAGGAGAACTTATTCCGGATTCCTACCTCCTTGGGATCCCGCAAACCTGGACAGTGTTAAGGGCGCGCGCCCCAGGAGCGCTGCTGAGTCTAGGGAACTGCACGCCCACGCAGGAGGACCAGGGGGCGCCCCGGATGTGCCCTTTACTCTAGGGAATGAATTTCTCCCGAGAGCTGTAAATAAATTTTTGCTTGTTTGTTTGTTTTTCAAAATTCTCCTGTCCATCCATTTCCTTGACTTTTCTTGGCCCTGGGAACCACTCAACCTCGAGAAGCTTCGCTAGGCTAGCCATAATCTAGTATTGTGTATTCAGGGGCTGAGAAACCAGAGAAACACAGAAGGGCTCTGGGAGAGCCGCGCCCTCTAGTGAGGTCCGAGAGGAACTGACAGGCGGGGTGGTCACACTGCCCAAATCTCTACTGGTCAAACTGGGTGTACTGGGAAAGTTTAGGATTTTGGTGTTGATTCGCTAATTCTTCCCACTTCCTTTGTGTTTGTGCCTGGGAGCTAAAAGAGAAATAACAAGGCATAAAAATATAAATCCTGGGGGTCTGGAGAGATGGTTCAGTGGTAGAGGGTACTGGGGTTAGAGTACTAACCCACATGACAACTACCAACAACTCCCTGTAACTCCAGTTCCAAGGGACCTCTGCAACGCCCTCTCCTGGCCTCTTCAGGCACTGCATGCAAGTGGTGTACAGATATACATGCAGACAAAATACTCAAAATACTCAAAAAAATCATATATATATATATATATATATATATATATGGATTTTTTCAAAGGTTCTTCCCAAGTCCTATAATCTTACACAGCATATTTTGAACTGAAGCTCAATGACAACGTAGCACACAACTGGTTAATATTAGAACTGGAACAAGATCTCCTTCCAATGCAGACCCAGAGGTCACAAAAGCTGTGAAAACAACAGAAAAAGAAAAGGGAGGGGCCCAGACCCCCCCCCAAAGAAACCAAGTGATAGGTCCTGAGAGACCACTTGATGCCCAAAATATTTGTTGAGAGGGAGGTTGACCTTGAAGAAACAAAGCATCCAAGAGGGTGGTGGTTGTGCAGAATACGAGCCATCTCTGTGTTCTCGCCACAATAGCAGAGTTTATGGACATGGCTGACATCTCTTCAGAACCTTGGAACTTCTGCTATTGTTTTAAGTGGAGTTGGGCATCTGATACAACCCAAACCCACCTCCTGGGCTGTTCTGGTGGTTTTATGGAGGCTCCAATGAGGTCTGGAGCCAGTCTGGAAACTCCAGTGGCCATCAGTAGAGGAGTGTTAAAGGGCACAGTCAGACTCTTTGATGTGTTCCTCCTTAAAACACATCTCAGAGGAAGCCTCTGACATGGGAATGTCTTGGGTCTCGGGACTCTCAGCCACGGACCTATAGCGGGGGCTCAGGAGTCCCCCTTCCTCAGAGCCCCACTCCAGCACCGGGTCCTCTCCACTCTGGTTGAAGAAAGCCTTTAGTCTGTGAGGTTGCATCCTGTGGGCCACTGCCATGACTAGACCGAGCAGAATACACAGCAGTCCTGAGGATGAAGGTGACATGTGTTCTAGTAGGTCCTCCCAAGAACATCTTCTAAGAACACTAGAACTCTGTAGGGGGGGGGGGGTCTGGGCCCTGCCTCGGGGTAACTGGAATTCAAAGAGCTAACTGAATGACCTAGGGTCTACATGGCTGGTATGGGTCTTTGTCCTGAATTTTCATACTCCAAACTGAGGTAGAGAGAGAAGAAGACAGACTGAAAATAGGGATAGATGGGAGCAAAAGAAAGAGACATGAAGAAGACATGAGTGAATAGATGGAACACAGTAGAATGAAACTGTGAGACAGATTGATTTAGGGCATTTGCAGTAGTGTGAGGTGGGGGCGTGCAAGAGATCTGGGAAAAGATGAGAATTGTGGTTAGGGGATGCAGGAGGGGACACACAACCAGAAGATTTGAAGGGCTTGAGTAAAGAGAGTTAGGGAGAGGTGAGCATGGATGAGGAGAGGAAATGGCACTGGAGAGAGAAAGCGGGAAGATGAGGGAGTTAAAAAGGATGGGGCTCTAAAAAAGACACAGACATCTTGACCTATAGAAGCAGACCCTCCACCCCACCAACACCATAGTCCCTCGCCTCCACCTGAGCCCTTACCTTTAGGGAAGAGTCTCACCTGTGGCCAACGTGATCCAGAAAGCGGGCCCACGGTGAGTGTCCAGTACGGCAGTGCCCAAGCGCAGGGGACAGGGTGATATGAGTGATGTGGCCATGGAGAAGAAGGTAAGTGCCAACAGCTGGAAGAGGCCAGTAGCCAGCAGCATGTGGCCCCCATAAATCAGCACCGGCATAGACAACATCACATTGGCCAGCAGCCAGCAGAGGAATGCCACCCTGGAGAGCCAAGATGCAGTGAGGACTGGCCCAGGCACCTCTACCTGCTGGAGAGGATTGGATGGCCCAGATGGAGGCTGTCCCAAATAGGTGAAGGGGCATTCTTGCCTGTGGGCTTCCCAACCAAGAACTAAGGTTACTGATGCCAGCCTCTCCCAGTTTGGGATGATGCTAGAGAATCTGTGCCTGAGTTTAGGCCAGTAGGGGTCATCTCACCCCATATCCATGCTCACCACAGCATGGCTGAAGCATAATGTCCTGCCAGGCGGTACTGGTTGTACAGGCCACATGGGCTTCGGGGGGTGAACTTCTCAGCCAGGTAGAGCACTGGGTCTGGAAGTCCCTTCTCCAGTGCCTTTGTATACTCCTCTGCGTAGCTCTCACCCAGGCGCCACCTGAACTCCTCATTGTAGTTGATGGTTTCATTCAGCTGCTGCACTGGGGTCCCTGAGGAACAGGGTAACTGTGCTTAGCAGGAACCCAAGAACTGGATTGGACTATTCACCTGGGTAGGGGTTCATTCACACTGGGCAGAAGGCCAAGAGCTGACAGCTGACAGAGGAGACAGCTCTGAATTTCCCTACCCCCTCAACTCTTACACTTTTAAGCTCCAGTGCTAGGCACATGGTAGTTCTACACAACACACAAAATACATCTCAAAGACACCAAGCAGGGCCTTCCCTCCTTCATGAGTTAGAACCCTCACCTGTGAGTGTGATGTTGACTCCTCCGAGCCCAATCTGTAGTCCCACGTCCACGCTGACCCACTTGGGACTGAAGGCTTTGTATGTGGTGTTGGTGCTGACTTGGCCCACAGACCACTCCGAACTGAAATTCACAGCTGGGATTGGGGAGTAGCAACTCAGAAAGGTCTGAGTATTACTGGGTTAGTCACAAGGAAAGCTGCAAGGGCTCCATGTCTGAACTTGTCATAATTGTATACCCATTCACTAGCCCAGGCCTGGCTCATACTAAGTCTGCCAACCACTATTGTGGAATGAAGAAAAGGGTCAGAATCTAAAATTTTCCATACTCTCACCCTGCTTGCCCCTCCCAGTCCCATTTATGGACAGCCACTCATGCAACTGGTAAGGAAGCATTAACATAGACCACGATGGGCAAACACAGACAACTTCAATAAAAATGATGTTTTTCCTATTCCCCTAATCATAGAAGCCAAACAAACAACCCCTCCCCCTGAGTCCTCCTGCCTACCTTCATTATGACCCAAATAAAAACAGAAGCAAGATTGAAAAGATATTTCCTCCAGGACTTCCCAGGCCCACACCCTTAGGGCAAGGGGAAGAGTAAGGGGCTAAAACCATAGTGAGAGAGGTGTGTGGGCTGGATCTGGAAGGCACCCTGAATCAGTGGCCACTATGGAGAAACAAAAAGAAGAGAGGCAGGCCACAAAGGAAACTTCACAGTCAGGGGCAGCTGCCCAAGTCTGTGGCATCTGGCACTCACCCAGGATCACAGCCCCGATGAATAAGCTGGTCACCACCCGTAGCATCCAGAACAGCCTCTGAGTCAGAGTCAGAGGGGGTGGGTTTAGTAAACATAACCCTCCATGCGTGTTCACCCTTCCTAAGATGGGGAGGGACAGGGGATCTACAGCTGAGTCTATTTGGCCAACTAAGATCAGAGTGTTTGGCACAAAACCATGCTCAGTCTATTAGTTCCCTGAGTTGGGGGGGGGCGGGACTCTGCACTAGGGATGGTAATGGAGCTTTCTCAGCACTGGGGTTCCTTCCCTGAGTCTCCCTCTAGACAGAGTCTGGACTCCTCACTCTTGAAGCTGAAGTCCTCCCTGGGACTGGGGTCTACAGGGCTGGGTTTGTTTCTTACCGTCTTCCCACGGATGCCAGGCAGGATGATGATAAAGGTGACCAGTGCAGTCAGAAAGATGGTGATTATAACAGCCAAAGCTGTGTCCATCGGAAAGGTTGGCTTGGGGCCAGTGTAGAAGGGCAGTGTGTGCCCAAGAGCAGCCATTTTGTTGGGGGTGTGCAGAGTGGTGATACTGCAATAATAGGCATTTATTGAGTACCCTCTGTGTACCCAACACTGCAGTGGGGCTGGGGATGCTTCAAAGAATAGACCAACCCAGATCTGTCATCTCTGAAGTCCTTTTTGGGGGGCGGGGTGCCTTCCAATCTTCACTACCATTACTGCTATTCCACTGCCTTCCAGCCATCATCCATCCCCCCATCTTTAGGCTGTGACAGATTTAGGGTCTTGGCAATCAGTCTCTGCAGTCCCCACCCCCCGCCGTGGTCCTCTCCTAAAAACTCAGTCCTCTAAATTAGGGCCTTTTCTGTTTCTTCTGGGAATATCTGAAGATAAAGAACTGTCTTTTTTTTCCCTCCCAGGCTCTAGCACAGGCAGATGACAGAACATAAAAAGAATTGTATTTACTATCAAACAAAGACATAAGGGTAGGAGATGGTGCAGATTACAGAAAGACTGCCTTTCTTTTTCAGTCTCTAAAGGAACAAAGGCCAAAAAGCTGTTAAGTGTACAGTCCACGTACATCAGCGGGGGCTGATCCCTAAACCCACACTGCCCAGCCGGCTTAGGCACCCTAGCTCCCGGGACTGGTGAGTCCAAAACAGCCTGCCTTGGCATTGCAGGAATACCTGCCCTCCATCAGGCACAGTGCTGGGACCAGATGCCCTACTATTCCATATATCACCAACAAAGGTCCTTTTCTTTCATTCGTATCCCCCATTGCAATACTTGAACATTGGCTTTGGTCTTCTCTGCTGGTCACTTGATTGATCTTAGAGCTTTTTTGACTCTTGTCTGTCCCTTTGTATGCAGGACATTAGTAAGATGATACCTGGCCATTTCATCAGTTTTTAGAATTAATTGTAAGACACACTGTTATTTCTCAACCATGAAGAAAGTATAGTCAATTAAACCATAACAGCCATTGTGGTCAGATTCACCCAACTTCAGGGATCTCAAAATCAGGGGCCAAAAAACAAAAAAACACAAACCTTTAGATTCACTGTCCCAGTTCTGCTCATTCTTCCAAGTGTGACCTGCACTGGGGACTCATGTTACCCTGGAGAACCCACAATTTAATCTGAGCAGGGACAGTCTTGTTAAGTGGGAAGGTAAAGGAAGCAGCTTTGGAGTCAAGCAGCTCCATAGGGTGTGCGTTCTGCCTCTGTCTTTTGCAACTTCACCTCTATGTAATTTTATTGGGGAAAAACCCAGAAATAATAATGTTTACTTCAGGGGGCCATTATGAGGATCTGTTGGGAACAAACAGGGAGTGCTATGGTATCAGGCAAAGAGACAGAGAGACCTATAGCTTAGTTTTTAATCCTGTCTTTTGGGCAAGTTGTACAACCGCAGCCTCAGTTTTTAATGTGAAAGTTTTGCCTTCTTCTTAAGTGCTCAACTCTTCCTTCCTGGAGAAGTGCCTGTTATTGTTTTGTTTAAAAAGAAGAAAAGAGAAATTGCTGAGACAGACATATTGACTATAAGTTTATTATAAGGCCCGGCAGAATGGGGAGACTAAGAAGAGGAACAGGGTAAATGGCTGACCGCCATGGCCGGTCGCCATAGAGAGACAGAGTGGGGAAACAGAGAGACGGGAGAGCGGGACAGAGGAACAGAGAGACAGAGAAACAGAGAAACAGAGAGAGAGCGTAAATGGGCAGGGGCCTATCTTTTAAAGGGGTCCTCTGCACCTGCGTGTAGACTTAGTTCCCATGGAACCTTGGGCTGACCAGGGTATTGCCTGAGTGGATTCCACCAGGTAACAGGGGCAGGCCAGCATAATGCCTGAACCTTTCAGTGCCTATCCTTTCTCCAGCTCTGCAGATTCTCCTGCACACACACACACCCGGTTGCTCTCCAACCACCTTACCATCAGTCACCTGTGTGCCCTCACAGTTTTTCATTCTTTGCAGCCTTCTTCTCCCAAGGATAGACTCAAACTTCTCTCAACTCAGATAACAAGAGAAAGAAACTTTCTTGATCTCCACTCACTGTTTGGTCCTGTTGTCTTCTTTTCACAGCCAGGAGTTTTGACAGAATAGTTTGTGTTGGTGTTTCCATGTTCTTATCTATTCCTTATTGCCTTGACCCACTGACACCCCTGTAACCCCAGCACTGAAGAGGTTGAGGCAAGAGGACTGAGAGTTCCAGTCTAGACTGAGCTAAGGGAAGACCCTCTTTCAAAAACAAAACAAAATAATGCCCGGGTAGTCTCATCTGTTCCCATGACTTATAGTTCTCAAATATCTCCCTGAGCTCCAAACTCAAAAGGACCAACTACCTCATGAATCTTTTCACTTGGATATCCTTTGATATCCCAAATTTAACAGGAATTCCTAATGGAATTCTCTGCTGTTCTTTCTTCTGTTTTCTTTTCTTTTTAGCTTCACCATGATCTATTAGTCAAAGATGCCAGAACCAGGGCTATCCTACCTCCTGAGTATTTCTTGAAATTGGCTGCCTTTGCTACTGCTGATTTTAGTCTCATTCTCTCTTGCCTGGTGTAAGAAAAAAGTTTCTAATAAACAAAATGCAATCATTTCACTTCTCTGCCCTGGGTAAAATTTAAGTTTCTCATTACCACATATAAAGTGTTTTATGGGCAGTGCCCCTTCTTCCCCTCTCCATGGCTGACAAGCTTTTCAAGCTTTCAGGCCTTTGTATGTGCTATTTCCTCTACCTGGATTGTTCCCCTTTGGCAAATGCCTTTTCTCACTTCAAGTCTGAGCTCAGTTACCTTCTCTGTGGAGTTCCCTCTATTGTCATTGGACCAAAGGGAAGGTTTCTATCACTCCTGTTGTGTTTTGAGCATATCTCATGATCACAATAATTACTCTACTCCATCACTGTGAGCGTTTGTCTCCCCTTGACACAGAGTCTCCTTGAGGGCAGAGATTAATCTTCCCATCTTTGCATCATCTTCATGTAACACATTCTAATCAAACTCTGGATCAAATTAATGAATATGGATGAGTTCTTCCCAGGGGCGCCTCCTTCTGAGTCTTCACACAAGAGGGAGCTATGTTCCCTCAGCACCCACACTGTACTCTCACTCACATTAGCTGAGTGCCACCAATACAAGGCTAAAAGCTGCACAAGAAGGGATCTGATGAACCTTGTCTACATCTCAATCTCAAAAAAAAAAGAAAAAAAAACTGTCTAGAAATCCTCTTCTAGTAGCTAGAGTCTCTAAGAATAGTAAAGACAAAAGCATAAATGTTGTATTTAGTTGAGCATTAGGCATACATTGTAAGTTCAGCTGAAAATGTATAGATAAGGGGCTGGAAAGATGACTCAGAGGTTAATTAAGAGCACTTGCTGCTCTTGGCAGAGAACCTGGACCCAACAACCACACAGGCAGCTCAACAACTGTCCATGGCTCCAGTTCTAGGGAATCTAATGCCCTCTTCTGGCCTCTACAGGCAACAGTCATGTACATGGTACACTGACATATATACCTGCAAAACACCCATACACATAATTTTAAAAACTAGAACTGTTTTTTAATAAAATAATTAACAGTAACATTTTATTTTTAAATGTTTTTATTTATTAGTGTGTGTGTGTGCGCGTGCGTGTGTGTGCGTGTGTGTGTGTGTGTGTGTGCGCGTGTGTGTGTGTGTGTGTGTGTGTGTGTGTGTGTGTGTGTGTGAATACGTACTACACCATGCATATAGAAGTGGGAGGGCATCTTTGGGGAGTTGGTTTTCTTCCCATTTTTATGTGGGTTTGGAGGCTTTCACTCAAGTTGTCAGGCATAGCCAGCAAGTGCCTTTACCAAATGAGCATCTTGCTGGCCTAGTGACATTTATGGTCAAGCATATGTTATTTTGTTATAGCAAATATTTATTTATGATGCCCAGACTGAAATCATCTCTAATAAAGTCTATTTAGGAAGAAGGGTTATACAATTTAGAAGACTTTAGGTCTTAGTTTTAGGATAGCCAGGCATGCTGGCACATTCTGTTAATCCCAGTACTCGGAATGGCAAAGGCAGGGAGAGAGTTCTTTTTTTTTTTTTTTTTTTTTTTTTTTTTTTTTTTTTTTTTTTTTTTTTTTTTTTTCCTAGACAGGGTTTCGCTGTGGCTTTGGAGGCTGTCCTGGAGTTAGCTCTTGTAGACCAAGCTGGTCTCGAACTCACAGACCAGCTAGCCTCTGCCTCTCGAGTGCTGGGATTAAAGGCGTGCGCCACCAATGCCCGGCTACAGGCAAACCTTTTTGAGTTTAAGCTAACCTGATCTACACAGTGAGTTCCAGGCAATCTAAGGCTATATGATAACAATAATGATGGTGAAAGCAATCATAATGAGGAGGAGGAGGAGAAGAAAGAAGATATGAATTAAGATAAAACAAGAGTGTTCATAGAAAGAACTCGTATTAGGGCCAGTGAGGTGGATCAGTGTGAAGGTGCTTGCTGCCAAGCCTGAAAATCTGAGTTTGATCCTTAGAAGCCACATGGTGGAAGGTGAGAACTGATTTCTGAAAGTGGTCTTCTGATGTCTGCATTCATGCCATAGGACACATGCATGGATGCACACACACACACACACACACACACACACACACACA